TTGCAAACTCGATCCCCATTGTGGGGGGTGCGGGAGGCAGCAGATCAGTGATTCTCTCTCATCATTGATGTTTCTATTTCTCTCTCCCTCTCCCTCTCTGAAATCAATAAAAGTATATATTTTTAAAAAGATAATGAACCTACACATCATCCCCCGAAGTTTTCTCGTATCCCTTTCTAACGCTACTCCTCCCCAGCTGCTGTGCCTCGGTGCCCCCTTTCCCATGCCCAGGCAACAACTGTCACTATAGATACTTTGAATTTCCTAACATTTTACATAAATGGAATCATAAGTAGCCTTGGTGTCTATCCTCTTTCACTCAGCATAATTATGTTGAGAGTCATGCATGTTGTTGAATGTTACCAAACCTCATTCTCTTTTGTTGAGTAGTATTCCATTGTATGGATGTACTACATATTGTTTATCTACTCACTTCTGATGCATATTTGTGTAATTTCCTAGATTTTGAGATGCGGTAATCTAGAATATTTCTATAAGAAGAGAAATTATTAATATAATCCTAGAGATAATTGCTAATTCTAATAAGGCAGTTCATTTCTGCAATGATTATACTTTTACAAGGATCCTCAAAATGTAAACATTTCTTAAAAAACAAAAAACTTGTCTTCATTTCTCTGTTAGAAACACAGAGAAAATAATTCTAAAAAGAATCATGTTGAGCCTCAATGTAGGATCCCTTTTCTGATAAATTTCCAAGTGTTCTTTCCACAGTAGAAATTTGGGACCCAGGGGACAGGGAAAAGGAAGAGAAAGATGAGTGGGTGTGCAAAAGTACTGAGAAGTGATCTGCTTTTTGAGAAAGAATGAACTTCTAGAAAATAGAAATGGCTAAGGTGTACAAATGGTAGGATTTTTATGGGTCAAACAACAAGCATTTATTGACTATTTCGTGAGACTCCATATTGTATTAAATATTGTCAGTGATTCAAATTAGTATACAACACAATCCTTTTCCTCTTTTGGTATTTGTAGATAGAGTGATAAGACTAAAACACCATGAACTTTAGCAATTGTTCCTAAATTTTGGATTGCTGACTTTATGTGTAATATTTGTTGAGCACGGAAGTTTGGGAAGGATACACTGATGTAGAATTGAAAGCCCAGATTTGTAATCTCGAGTGATGGTGGCTGAGTCTTTTAGCTTTTCTGAGTTTTCCGTTTCCTCGCTTATAAAATGGCTGCCGTAATTTCTGCTCTGCCTGCTTTACAGGACTGTTGTGAGAATAAAACAAGACAAGGCATATATCCAAGTGTGAAAGCACCAGGAAAACTTTAGGGCACTGTCCAAATTTTAGGGGTTCTTTATTAGAAAGAAAGCAATCAAGGGGAACTGAAGCAATTGGAGAAAGGGTAATGGAAAAGTGGAGCCCTGAGGTTGATCTCTCCCTTTAACCTTTGTCCAAAAATGTCTTATATACCCAGTGTTGCCTCACTGTCTTTGGAATTTTCATGCCTATGTGAATTCCCCATGCGCATGTATTAAACTTTGATTTTCTCCTGTTAATGTGTCTCTGTTAATTTAAAGGTTAAACCAGCCAGAAGAACTTAGAAGGTGGGGAGGACAAGTATTAATTTTTTTCTTTAATGCTCTGATAGGGAATCAAACTATGACCTTCTGGTTCATAGGTGGACACTCAACCACTGAGCAACACCAGCCAGGCCGAACCCCTTACCCTTAAGCATTGTGTTATACTGCTGGATAGAAAACAAACAAAAGTCTGATTCATGTATGGCTCAGTGAAGAGACTAAATCAGCTAGGACAAGGGGACCCATTACAGATACAGGAAATAAAAACTGAACAGGTTAGAGGAGGCCACCTTTGGAGTATACTTGTATTTTTAACTCATTTTCAAAATCAAAGACTTTAACATTTATCCTCACAATTACTCTAAGAAGAAATTGGACAAGTAGATGGTGGCCCAGAGTCATGCAGCTACTAACAGCAAGGCTGTTGCTGGAATAGAAATCTTAAAAGATTAGCAGGTTTGTGATCTCTTGGTTGGGCTGTAGTGATAGTCTGGCAAGATGTGGCCAGTACAGAGAGGAGAGTGAAGCCAATGCCATCAGGACGCTTTCCTTCCTTCCACTCACCTTCCCTGACCCATATGCTGGTCCCTGTAAGGACACCGTGGTTGAGAGTTATTCCGCCAAAGGGACACCACTCGTCTGACACACACCTGGCATGCCTGATGCCTGCTCAAAGTGTAGATAAAGTTCACCCTTTCTTCCACAGTGTTGTTTTACTACATGATTTTGAAGGCAAATATTGTAAAATTAAACATTGAAAACCTTAGTTTATAAGGCTACCTTAGCATTTTTAATATTCTGAATATGCTGTTACGAACAAAAAGTACATTCATTTACTTAATCTTGTGAACTCTTAATTTGTATTTTAACTTATGGAAGAATTTTGAACTGTAATATAGCCAGAGTAAGAACCTCAAATTTTATTTTTTTGCTAATCTAATTTCCCAGTGATTGTTGATTATTTATAATACATTATGGCTGGGTGTGTGTGTTTTTTCTCTTCTTCATTTCTAGCCTAAAATTGAGAAGAAGAGATATTTCCTCTTTGGGAGGCTGTGTGGACTCTCCCTGTACCATTTAAATGTTGCGGATATTCCTTTCCCACTGGCTTTGTTTAAGAAACTTCTGGAACAAAAGCCATCATTGGAAGATTTAAAAGAACTCAGTCCCCTTTTGGGAAAGTAAGTAAATGTTTCTCCAGGACTTTATCTATAAGTCTTAGTTGTCTTGGCATAAATGATGTTCCACACAGAGACACAGACACACAAAAGGCCTTCAGTTTCAATAAATGTATGCTCTTTAGATGAATTTGAACTTTAGCATGACTTATAGTCAAGTAAACCTTCAAAAATGTAAAAAGGCCAAATGTTTCTCCAATTATTGACCAGTACAATAAACAATGCCAGATGTCTTCAGTTTATCCAGATGGAAACAGTTACTTTAGACAGTACACAGTATTCTTAATGCAACTTATATGTATTATATTTATTTTGAATAAACTTTATTTAATCTTATCTACTTTCTTTAAATAAGTCAGCATGTCATCAACTTTATTTTTAAGGGTTGAAAAATGCTTGTTCTAAGTTAAAAGGCAAACTATATCCTATGAGGAAAATACTGGCAACATATGATAGACAAAGGATTAGTACAGTATCTCAGATGTATAAATATGCAAAGGTGGGCAAAAGTAGGTTAAATTACCAGCCATCATTACCTTAAAGATAAATCATAAGTAAGGATACAAAATAATAACAATAATTAATAAACTCCATATTTCACTTACTCAGAACTGTAAACCTACTTTTGCCAACCCTGGTACTGTATGTGTGTCATCATACATATGTATATATACGGTTAATCAAGAAATGAAAATATGCTCAACCTTACTAATAATTGAGGAAATACAAATGAAATGTCATTTTTTGCTCTATACATTGACAACTATCAAAAGGTTTTTCATAAAATACAGAGTTGACAGCCAGATTGGGGAAAAGGATTTTCCCCTCATGTACAGTTAGTGGAAGAACACTGGCTAGATTTATACTCTATGCCCTGTATTGTCAATGTAGAGGAGGGGCTGAGAAACGCCTAGCATTTTTGTCTGGATCA